ACATTTTGAACTTCAAGCTACCCATACCAGCTACTTCTATTTAGTAACTGAGTGATTTTTCCTATTAAAACACACACTTAGGGGCTTCCCTGGTGGCGCAGTGGTTAAGAATCCGCCTGCCAATGCAGGAGACACAGGTTCGAGCCCTGGTCTGCGAAGATCCCACATGCCACGGAGCAACTAAGCCCATGCACCACAAATACTGAGCCTGCGCTCTATAGCCCGCAAGCCACAACTATTGAGCCCACGTGCCACAACTACTGAAGCCCTTGCACCTAGAGTCCACAACAAGAGAAGCCATCGCAATGACAGTAGCCCCCGCTTGCCGCAACTAGAGAAAGCCCGCGTGCAGCAACGAAGACCCAACGCAGCCATAAATAAACAAATAAAAATTTACTAAAAAATAAAATAAATTTAAAAAAACACTCAAATGGTATAATGCTTAAAAAATCCAAGTGACTGTAGCCAGGAACTCTGATAATTTCTAGAGCTTCTTACTATACTTTTAAATTTTTACCAAAAATAAACATTCCATTATTATCACACTCACTGCAAAACAATAACAAAGAAAGTCCATGATCTCATTAGGTATCACCTTTCACGGTAATAATACTAGTTGAACTGGGAAATACCAATACCAACTCATCATCATGTTGTTAGAGATCTCACTGGCAGGAACGAAATAGCTTCTTTGCAGTGATTTGAATCACCCACAATTAAGCATTTCAGTCCATGATTTTCCCCCAATTAAATAACTAATCCTGAGATGAGACCTAAGAGAAATGCTGGGTCACCCTGAAATCATAAGGCAGTCACTTCGTGCAGGCCAAGGGGAGACACACCTAAGGGCCACAGGGTGCGTGTGAAATGAACCCAACCAGATGGGGGCCAATGAAACGTCCTCTAATCAGAGAAAGCTGGGACATTATGCCATTCCCTTCACTTAAGGTTCATGGGAGAAAATTCTGAATAAGAGCTGAGGAAACAAGCTCATTAACGTTTGCTATTCGGGGAGCATGAGGCACAAGCACGAGACACAGGGGCAGGGCAAGTGTCCTGTGCCTCTCTGTCCAGCACACTGCTCCTAAAGCAGCGACTTGCACAGAGCGTGTGTGCAAAGCTTTCAGATAAGTGATCCTGCTTGATGCTCACGACCACAGCCCTAGTTCTGTCTTGTAAATAAGGATACTGGCCCGGGGAAATTAGGCGGCTGGCACACCGAGCGACCGAGACAGGACTCCAGCCCAAAGCTTCTAGGCACACGGAACCGCGGGAAGGAGAAACTTAAGTCCGTGGCACGAACGAACGCATGGATGGCTTCTTCACGCCTAGAGAATATGGCTCACCTGTGAAGCCAACTCCTACCAGTAACGAGAGAAACGAGACAGAACGGCGCCCCACACCTGAGCAACCTCGGGGCAGCGCCTGCCCACGGAACTCAGGAGAGAAGCGTGCCTACCCGAGGTCACGCAGCTCCTGCAACTTTAACGGTTCCTCCCTCTCAGTCCTGACAACTCGGCGGAATAGGGCCATTTCTATTCCACGAATGAACAAACAGGGTGGGGAAAGAGGCCTTACAGCAGCGGCCAACTACTTTAATTCTGGGCCCAGGGCTCGATACGCAGGTGATGAAACGAACGAACCAACGGCATGAAAATTAGGAAGAAAATTAACAACGGTCACAACTCCGTCCGCAAGAGGGGAGCCTGGAGCCAGGGCCCCCGGGGGACGTGCGCACCAAGCCGCGAAGGGCCCCGCCACGCGGCCAGGTCGGGAGGGGCCGCCGGGAGCCGAGACCGAGGGGGCACCGACGGCGGGGGGCGGAGGCCGGGTGTCGGGACCAGGGCGGAGAGGCGCCCAGCTCGCGCGCTCGTCAGCCCCGGCCCAAGCGCCGAGACCCCCGGGCCAGCCCGGACGCAGAGTCGCGGCCTGCGCCCACCGCCTCACCTTGGGCCGAGAGCTGGCGGACGCTGTTGACGAACTGCTCCAGGGCAGACGCCATGTTCCCGGCGACCCGGCGGCGGAGGCGGCGCACGCGGGACGAGGACCGGCGACCCACGGACCGGCGACCCACTGGAGGGCCTCGAGGGCGATGACGTCACTTCCGCCGCTCAAGCACCGCGAGATCTCACCTACCTGGGACCCGGCTACTGTTTCCATGGAATCCGCTCTAGGGATGCCACGCCGGAAGGCAGCTTTCTTTCCCTTCCGTCTTCGTTCTGCGCACACGCGAAATCGCTCCCTGGATTTAACGGGGATGGTGGGCAAAGGAAGGAACAGAACTCCTAGTTAGGCACATCCTTTCCGGATTTTGTTGGGAATGGCTGTCCCGTGTAACACCTTGCCAAATCCTCCAAGCCCGGCTTAATTGCCACCTCTTCCCTGAGGCTTTTCCTGCGAGGTAGTAGTCCGGCCAGGCAGGCAGCATGCGGTCAAATCCCTTGTCTACCACTTAGTAGCTCTGTGACTCTGGGCAAGTACCTTGGCTGTCCTCTGCCTTGTTTCCCCATCTGTACAATTCTCACGATAAACCACGTAAAATACTTATGGTTGGAGGGGAGTGATGTGAACTGGGGCTGCTGCAGGATAGACAGGGACCACGTCAAGTAAGCTGTGTTAAAGATACTGGACTTTTTCCCCGAAAGATTGGGACGCCACGGAGAGTTTGATGCAAGAGAGCGGCATGATCAGACTTGCACTTAGAAAGGGCTGTCTGACTTTACATGGATAACCTCAGGGAATCATTTAGGAAGCTATTACAGTAGTCAGTCGATATGAAATATAATAGTAAAAATTGTACCTTGAAATAGAGATGGAAATAAGTTGATGTATTTGGGACAAGTATAGATGAATGACTTTAACACTTGTACTCTAGGATGGAGCTGTCCCTGAATGCTGTATGGCAACATTTGGTCCTCAAACAGAAGACAGACATTTTGAATTATAGGACACATTTCCATGGAAGTACATGGGTTTTAATAAAAGCCAAAAATGTTGTGAGAAGTTAAGCACTACAATAATTCAAAATAGCCACAGCTACTAGTCATACTTTAAATTTTGTTGCCTATTTAGATTGTGGCATCTGTTCTCAAAGTGTGGTTCCTCAGCCCGCAGCATCAACGCCACCTGGGAACTTCTTAGAAATGCAAATTCTTGGACTCCACTTTAGACTTACTACAAACTCTGAGGGTGGTGCTCTGCAGTCTGAGTTTAACAAGCCCTGAAGGTAACCTTGATGCACACTAAAGTTTGAGAATACCTGCATTGTGGCAAAGAGGAGCCAGGAATCAAATCACACTCATTTCAAAACTGCTAAGGGGCATCCCACGCTTCTCTCTTCCTCTCAAGAGTGAAATGACTGAAGGAGATGTGGTTAGAGGGATAACCTTGGATATATTCTAACTATTTTTTAAGCTATTCATGTGTAAAATCCAGCAATTAAGTTTATTTTTAACTATTTTTTATAAATCTATTTTATTTATAAATCTATTTTTGGCTGTATTGGGCCTTTGTTGCTGTGCGCAGGCTTTCTCTAGTTGTGGCGAGCAGGGGCTACTCTTCGTTGCGTTGCGTGGGCTTCTCATTGCGGTGGCTTCTCTTGGTGCGGAGCAGGGACTCTAGGCACGCGGGGTCAGTAGTTGTGGCTCGGGGGCTCTAGAGCGCAGGCTCAGTAGCTGCGGCGCACGGGCTTAGTTGTGCGTTCTTAGATGTGGGATCTTCCTGGCCCAGGGCTCGAACCCGTGTCCCCTTCATTGGCAGGTGGATTTTTAACCACTGCGCCACCAGCGAAGTCCCCAGCAGTTACTTGAGACACACCTTACAACAAACAGCCACCGCAGTGAGTGGAGATACCACATTTAACTACCTGTTTTTCATTCTTTGAATACACATTTACTTTGTCTCTGATATGTGTCCAGCCCTGTGCCAGATGGCAGCTGTATATCTGTCATCAAGACAAAGTTCTTGCGGCAATGAAGCTCTGGCTGTAGGAGTTACACACAAAAGCAAGCAAACAAAATACTTTCAGAGAGTCAGTACCTGTTATGAAGAAAATGAAACATGGTCATGGGGTAGAGGAAGGTCAGGAAATGCTTCCAAGATGTGAAGGGTGAGAAGGAGCCAGTGAAAAGGGATCTGGGAGCGGAGAGTTTCAGGGAGAGGAACAAATGTATGCCAAGATCTTTAGACCCAAATAAGCTTGGTGTGTTTCTGGAAAAGACAAAATGCTAGTGTGTCTTAGAGTATAGTGGGTGAGGAGGGTCCTGGTGTGTCTCTGTTGGATACTGCTTGCCTATAACAACAGTAATAGTCTCTTATTCATTCAAATTGACAATAAAAGATTTTAAAGCCAGAAGAAAAAGGAAAGCCACCTATAACGGGGTACATAATATTTATTTTAGATTCATTTGAAAGTCACCGGTTTTATTAAGGCTTCGTGATATTTGCACGGTGTTAATTGCTCCTCTAACAGCCTCTCCCCAGCCAGTCACCGTAAAGCAGGGGGCACATCACTGTTTTGGTTCCTTCCTACTACTGTCACTCCCTGAAGTTCTTCTGCCTATTTTGTTGACTTATTTGCTTTGTGTCCCTCTCCCCTTCTAAAATGTGAGTCCCAGCGTGGCAGGACCTCGTCCACGTGGTCCACTGCGCGACGCTCTACGGGCTCAGTGAACGTCTCCGAGACACAGGCCTGCTCCTGCGGCACTGGGAGGAGGGAGCCCAGGCGCAGGATCCCGGGAGAAGGTGCCAGTGGAGATCCGGGGAGTGCGGACGCCCCGGGGACAGCCCAGCGCCCAGGGCTGTCCTCCAGGCCACGCCCCTCGGGCCCGCCTCCGCCAGCGCGGGTCCCTTTAAGGGCGGCGAGGCCGCAGCCTCGCTCTGGGGCTTGAGCCTGCGCGCTCGTTTCCCGCTCGCCCCGCGCGCCCCACGCGCCCCGAGCCCCGCGCGCCCCACGCATCCCGCGCGTCCCCGGCCCCGCGCGCGCCCCCCGCATCCCGCGACCCCGACGCCCACTCCCCTGTCCGCAGTGTCTCCTCCCGCGGACATGGCCCCGGTGTTCTCGGCGAGCGCCCGCCAGGGGCCATGATCCGGCTGCGCGGCTGGTGCGCGCGGAGGCCCCGCGGCGCAGCGGTGCCTGCGGGGCCCGCTGGGCTGCGCTGGGCGTCGGGCGGGCCTGCCGGCCGCGCCCTGCGGGTGCTGGTAGACATGGACGGCGTGCTGGCCGACTTCGAGGGCGGCTTCCTCAGGAAGTTCCGCGCGCGCTTCCCCGACCAGCCCTTCATCGCGCTGGAGGACCGGCGCGGCTTCTGGGTGTCGGAGCAGTACGACCGCCTGCAGCCCGGGCTGAGCGTGAGCATCCCCGCCCCGGGCGCGCGTGGCCCTGGGAGTCGCCACCCGTAGCACCGGGTCCTAGGGGCCTCTGCGTTCGATAGCTCTTGGCTGTCATCGAGGGCTTCTCAAAATTCAGGAGCTCATAAGGCATAATATACCTAACTCCCTATCTTCAAGTGACTTTTTAATTTTGGCCTCAAGTCACATTCCCGTTTCTTCCTCTACCTGAATTTGATGAGCATCTTTACCATCCATTCTTTTTTTCCCTTTTCCACCAAAGTGTGGTTCCCAGTAGCATTGAGGTTGCAAGTCTTCCTGGACGGCACACAGGGAGTCATGGTGGGTCCGGATCTATTCCTTGGCTTATCCCCTGCCCCAGCCCGCCCAGCTGAGCACCTGAGCTCTGACACCAGGAACGTTCTTAGATCGCTTGGTTTGTCCATTTAAACTACTTGGTGAAAGGTATGGGATCTTGCCATGGACCAACTTAGAGACCTAATGTTTTCTGCTGTCCCTCAACTGGCCACCTAAGGTGGCTGCCAGGGGGAATTGATGATGATTTTAGAACCTATTTTGTAACCCCAGGTTGCTGCATTCCCTCCTCTGTGAGGCAGACATTATTTTCTCCCTTGTGAGGTGAGGAAACCTGTCCCATGTCACAGCCAGGAAGGGTCAGCCTGGATCTGAGTTGTCTGTCCCCTTGGCAAGGTCATTCAGTCCTGTCCTCTGTCCTCCTCTAACAAGTGCCAGTTCTTTGATTTACAAAAGGCATCTGGACAGTAATTTGGTTTGTGGGCGGGTGGGTGTTCAAAAGGAAATGAAGCGCCATTTCTTTTCGTTAACACCAGGCGCTTCAGAAGGCAGCTTTCCCCTGAGGCTGGGGTGCCGACCTCTCCCACTCCCGATACCTCATTAAAAACTTTAAACCGGGGGAAATGCCCTAGTAATTTTTGCAGGCCCAGTAATGTTCTCCCCTGCCCTGTGTGTGTCTTCATTCATAGACGGCACTCAGCGTTGCCGTCTGGGTTCTTCCTTTCCTCCCAGGACCGTGTTACTATGATGCCACTAAGCCTGTTACTGAAATGGAAGTCCGTGTGCCCGATGCACAGAGAGGCCAAACAATACCAAAATGTCAGAGTTTGAAACAGAGAAAGGTCTACTGCAGGGCCATGCAAGGAGATGGATGGCTCATGCCTTAAAAACCCCAAACTTCCCAAAAGCTTTCAGCAAAGCCTTTTTCTAGGAAAGGTGAGGGAGGGGCGTGGTTAGTTGCTGCAGACTTCTTGGTGTTAGATCCTCTGTTCTTGAGGTCAGGTCATGGTCAGGTAATGATGTTCCTGTAAATCTCCACCAAGCAAATGTTATTCTCTGTTCTGACAAGAAAGGGCAAGGTCTTACGGCACAATTTTCACCCTCGAAGGTCCAGGTCCTGGCTAAGAGGAGGGGGTCTCTGCGGGGCCGGTTACCCTTCCCTGGAGCGTTCGTCCAGCACCAAGTATGGGTCCTCCCGCCAGTGCCCAGGCCCGGCTGAAGGTGCAGACCTCAGTTGGCGGCTCCCTCAGGTCCAGGTCCCACAGATGCCACTGCCGTTAGGTCGCCCACCCCCGCAGCTCTCCAAGGACAGTGGCTCTTCTAGTCCATTGTGCCAATGTGCAGACTCCGGGTCTAGGGGAATGCGTTACTGTCTTCCAAGAACAAGGCCTGGGAGCAGAACTCGGGCACCGAGGAGGGGTGCTCCGAGAGCTCACTGTGCACTGCCGCTCCTGGGAACATTGCAGGCACTGGGGCTTTAATAGACGCACACATGACCTTTATCCCCAGGCACAGCTCATAGCAGGACCTCCCTGGTCTCCCCTTGGCCGAGCTGGCCCAGCATCTGCGTTAAAACCTCCCTGTCAAGCCCCTGGCTTCCACACGGAGGCATCCCTGCTTTACAAAATGTGGGTCTTTCTGTGTTTCCTTTGAGCCTCGCTTGCGGAGGGGTGAGCAGGGCGGAGGGGAAGGCATAGCTCGTTTTCACTGACTTAGAATCTTACACTGTTAGGGCAGTTGAACGGGCCTCAGAGAAAGGAAGTCCCTTGACCAGGGTTTCAGGGAAAGTTGAGGGGGAGGGAGGTAAGCTGGGGTGCTGAGGGGAAATGGTTAGCCCTGGGCCACAGCCTGCTTTCCACCACTCACACTGCTTCCCTTTGAGTCAGAAGCCCCAAGTTCAAGTTCTGACAGTATCACCCTGAAGTGGCCTTGAATAAAAGCTTCAGTGAAGCCCAGTTTCCTCATCTGTAGATTGGGGATGGCAGCTCTTGCTGCCTGTGGGATGTGAGGCTCAGACAAGAGAGGGCATGTATGAGCAATAAACACTGATGGGCTTAAGCCCATGTAGTTGACAACAGTATTGCCCGTGTGACCTCCGTGTACTCCCCGTAGGTCGCCGTGGTGGCGTTTTTTCGGGGGTGGTGTTCTGACAGCGGGTGGGGGAACGCTTCCTGCATTGCACACATGGGACATGGTTTCCTGCTTCTCAGAGGCTGGGGGTTGTCACTTTCCCCTTGTCCTGGCCCTGGAAGGGGGTGACATACTACAGACTTGAATTTGGCCAGCAGCATAAGACGGACACTCCTAGCCAGGCGGTTGGCAGCCACCGTTTTGCTGTGTGACATTAAGTCAATCCCTTCCCCATTCTGAGCCTTGGTTTTCTCACATGTTTATGAGGGTCTGGATTGGGGGCTTTTAAACTTTAAAAGCAGCAGAATAGTTGTGTGTGTGTGTGTGTGTGTGTGTGTTTTAATGAAGTATTTTATTGGCATGCCAACGTGTAGCTCAGATAAAGAGCTGTTCTGCCAATGTGGTGCGGAGCCTGGAGCTCTGCTCGGTCGGCCTTCTGCCCGCGCCCCCATCCCTCGTGGCACGGCGGTGCTCTGAAGGGCCTGAGCTCCTCCAGCAGTTGAAAGTGAGATTCCAGCGCCCTGACAGGACCCAGCCCACCCTCGCTGCCTCCAGGGGGCCTCAGGCCTTTAGAATCAGGCAAACGTGTGGTTCCTGGGGGCAAACCTTCTGTCCCCGCCAGCTCCAGCAGGGCCTGTAGCAGCGCTGGCTTCAGAATCCACAGCCCCAGCACCATAGCTGGTCCCCGTTGGATCCTCACAGAAGCTGGATCCCTCCTGCAAAGGGGCCGGAACACACGCCAGTGCCAGCTCCCACCCTTCCTCCCCTGGGAGCTGCGTCCTCGGGGTGTGGGCACGCAGGGTGCTGAGGACCTGGGGCATCACCTGCACTTCTCCCCTTCTCAGGAGAAGGCGATCAGCATCTGGGAGTCGGAGAATTTCTTCTTTGACCTCGAGCCTCTGCCAGGCGCTGTGGAGGCTGTGAAGCAGATGGCCAACCTGGAGAGGTGAGTTTGTCTCGGCCCAGGGTCTGCACCCCTTCCCGCATCACGTCACCTCTGCTTCTCGTTCCTCACCCTGCACGGGCCTGCGCGGTCCATCCTCACGGGGCAAGTCTGTAGGCTGTTAAGATGCTTCCATCCAGTAACTTGGGAGAATGTCGAGTCTAATTTGACGGGGTTCGCTGAGTGTTCAGGGTTCATTTATTCAGCAAATAACTGAGAACTGACTGTCAGATGCCTCTGGGCACCAGCAGGTCACAAGCGAACAAAGCGCATTCCCTGCTCTCCTGGAGCTTACAGTCTAGCCAGAGAGCAGGTGTTAAATAGAGCATCACATCCGGGAAGACAACCACGAACTGGGATCAGTGCTGAACACAGAGAGCCAGGTGTGTGAAGGGGTACGATGGGGAGACCTGGGAGATGGGGTGGGGGGAGCGACAGCAAGAGGATGAGGGAAACGTCTACCTGGTCCTGTGAGCTGAGGCCCCCGCCCCGGAACCAGTGCCCACCGCCCATCGAAATTCGGTGGCACTTACAGCGCTCCCCTGAAGACCTTAAAAAAGGAAATAGCCTTATTGAGGTACAATCCACATACCCTACACCCGCATGGTTTTTAGCGGGTTCACAGAGATGTCCAAACAGCCCCATAGTCAACTTCAGCACATTAACAGTCACTGCGCATCCCTGCTCTCTGCCCGCAGCCCTCGGCAGTTGGCTTTGCTGTCTCTGGATTTGCCTAGTCTGGACGTTTCACATACGTTTCTTACGATACCTCGCCTCCTGTGACTGGCTTCTCTCCCTCAGTATGATGTTTCCGGTTTCACGTGTGCCGCCAAGTGGATCGCAACTTCATCCCTTTTCACTGCTGAGTGATTCTCCGTTGTGTGGATATGCTACGTTCTGTCCATCCGTTCCTTAGTTGATAGATCTTGGGTGTTTCTTCTTTTTAGATATGAAGAATAACACTGCTGTGAACATTCACGTACAAGTGTTTTTGTGGTCGCATGTTTTTATTTCTCTTAGACGTGCACCAGGGAGGGGGACTGATGGGTCATACGCTGAATCCAAACTACCTTCAGAGCAGCCGCACCATTTTACGTTCCCAGCAGCAACGTCTGAGGGATCCAACTTCTCCTCCCCAGCACTTGCTGTGGTCTTTTTTTTTCTTTTTTTTTGCGGTACGCGGGCCTCTCACTGTTGTGGCCTCTCCCGTTGCGGAGCACAGGCTCCGGACGTGCAGGCCTAGCGGCCACGGCTCACGGGCCCAGCCGCTCCGCGGCATGTGGGATCTTCCCGAACCGGGGCGCGAACCCGCATCCCCTGCATCGGCAGGCGGACTCTCCACCACTGCGCCACCAGGGAAACCCGCTATGGTCTTTTTGATTCCAGCCATTCTAGTGGGTGTGAAGTGGTATCTCATTGTGGGTTTAATTTGCATTTCTCTGAAGACGAATGGTGTTAAGCATCTTTTGGTGTGCGTATTAGCTATTTGTATATCTTTTTTGGATAAATGGTTATTCAAATCCTTTGCTAATTTTTTTTCAATTTATTTGTCTTCTTTTGTTATTGTTAACTCATAAGCCTGCTGTGTATATTCTGGATAACAAGTCCCTTGTGAGATATGTGACTTGCAGATATATTCTCTCATTCTGTGGGTTGTTGTTTCACTTTCTGGGTGGTGTCCTTTGAAACCCGAAGTTTTTATTTTGATATAATTCAATTTATTTATTTTTTTCTTTTGTCGTTTGTGTCTTTGGTGCCATATGTAAGGATCCTTTGCCTAATCCAAGGTCACAAAGGTTTGCTCCTTTGTTTTCTTCTAAGAGTTTTATAGTTTAAGCTCTTATATTTAGGTCTTTGATCCATTTTAATTTTTGCATATGGTGTGAGGAAGGGGGTCCCACTTCCTTCTTTGTCGTGTGGAAAATCCAATTGTCCCAGAACCATTTGTTGAAAAGACTCTTCTTTCCTCTGTTGAATGGTCTTGGCTTCCTTGTTAAAAGTTAGGCCACAGATGTTAGGATTTACTACTCTGGTTTATGATTTGAACCTGATCTACACCAGAATAATGTACTATAACTTCTTCCACCTGTAGCAAGAGCCTGGCGAGGCAAAGAATGTGTATTTTTGCACCGAAGCTTTTAAAACCTCTGTTCTTGTCTGGATCCTCATTTCCTGGACCACGTTAACCAACTGTATTCTGGGGACCTGGATTGCACGGTGGTTAAGTCTCAGTCTGAACTGGAGTTAGACCGCTTCTCCAGAATCGAACCCTCAGCAAGTCTCTAAACTTTCAGTTTCTTCATCTGTAAAATGTGTGCAGTGTAAATGTTAGCTGCCACTGTTACTATTCTGCAGGACTGAATAGGTGTGCAACAGAAGGGTGTTCTTTTTTTTTTTTAATATTTATTTATTTATTATGTATTTATTTTGGCTGCACCGGGTCTTAGTTGCAGCATGTGGGATCTTAGTTCCCTGACCAGGGATCGAACCCGGGCCCCCTGCATTGGGAGTGTGGAGTCTTAACCACTGGACCACCAGGGAAGTCCCAAGAAGAGTGTTCTTTGACCAAAGCAGCATGGGAAACATCGATGAGCGGTGTCTTTCCTGTGGGACTTCTCAGAGCTTTTAGCTTGTGGACGTGCATTGAGATTCTTCAGGGGGCGGCAGAGGAGGAAGCTTGCTTTATTTTTTATTTTTAAATTTATTTTTATTTTTGGCTGCATTGGGTCTTTGTTGCTGTGCGCGGCCTTTCTCTAGTTGCGGCGAGCGGGGGCTACTCTTTTGTTGCGGTGCGCGGGCTTCTCACTGAGGTAGCTTTCGGGGAGCACGGGCTCTAGGCGCGTGGGCTTCAGTAGTTGTGGCTCACGGACTTAGTTGCTCGGCGGCATGTGGGATCTTCCCGGATCAGGGCTCGAACCTGTGTCCCCCGCATTGGCAGGTGGATGCTTAACCACTGTACCACCAGGGAAGTTCCAGGGAGGCAGCTTTCTTCTCGTGGGTTCTGGCCCAGAGCACTTTTTCACAGCTGCCCTATTAACACATTTGCAGAAATTCCAGTCTGAGATGTCCAGGTTGAGACCACACCGCTGGTGCTTTACTTCCACTTTGGCGCTTAGCGGGTGGGCGATTCTGACGGTCAGTCCTTGGCCAGAGTTTGGGCTGAGAGAGGGGTCTAGCGGATGGCTAATCAAGTGGACGGCTCTGTGTCTTGTGCTTTGTGCAGGAAATGAGCAAGGTGACGTGTTAGAGGTCACCGGGGAGGGGCTAGTTCAGGTGCAGATGCTCCTCCAAGGGGTGATATCTGACGTCAGACCTGTAGGATCGGAATGAGTAGTGAAGGGCGGCGGGGAGCAAGGGTACAGGCCCTGGGAGGGGAAGGGGTTTGCTGACTTGGGTAGCAAATGAGACCAGGAGGGTGAGGTTTCAGTGAGTGTGGGGCAGGTGGGATGTGGAGGAAGAGGTTGAAGAGAGAAGGGTGCCATCTAACTCAGGTTTTAAAAAACATGGGCTCGGGCTCTGAGTTTGGCATTTCCTTGGCATTTCTCCAAAGAAGAGCTACAGATGGCAATTAAGTGCGTGAAAGTTTGCCTCAACATCGTTCGTCCTTAGGGAAATAAGTCAGAACCACAGTAAAAAGCCGCTCTGCACCACTAGAACGACTGTCGTAAAAAAGATGGACGATCGTGGGTGTAGCCAAGGATGGAGAGAGCTGGGAATCCTTATCGCTGGTGGTGGGATTGTAACCGGCGCAGCTGCCTTGGAAACCGCATCCTCAGGATGTTGGATACAGAGCCGCCTGTAACCCAGCAGTCGCACCCGAGAGAAACGGGGACACAGGTCCACACGGACCCTGCGCACGGGTGCCCCCAGCGCCACAGTTCCCGGGTGGAAGCAGCCCCACTGTCCATCCGTGGTAGCACGTAAACTGAACGTGGAGCATCTATACGAGGGACGTTACTGGGCAGTAAAAAGGCCCACAGTTCCAGTGCCCTTGAAAACATGACCCTGAATGAAAGAAGCCAGTCACAAGAGACCATGTACCGTGGGGTTCCGTTAACATGAGATGTCCAGAACAGGCAAATCCACGGAGATGGGAAGCAGGCGGAGACCCAGGGTGCCCGGGACGCCACGCCCTCTGCCCGGGGCCTCAGTCAGACGCAGGCCTCTCGGGACTGCCCATCCCCCGTGGGCTTGGCCCGATGAGACAGTAGGTGCCGCTCCGGGGGCAGGTGCCAGCTTGATGAGGAAGGGGACCAGCTGGCACTGTTGGCGGCCGCCGGGCCCGGGGCCGCGGGAGGAGCTGGCGCAGCACAGACCGTGAGGGTCCGCCAGGGTCCACAGGAGTGCGCGAAGCCCGAGCCGCCCGGCCGCACCCTTGACCTAGAGACTCCGGCTCGGCTTGTAGGTTTCCTGCCTCTGCGCCGTGTGAGGCCCTGATGTACGTCCCTTGAGTAGCTGGCTCTGGTCCTGTAATGCCTTCCTCGCAGGCTGGTACTCGCCATTTCTCGGCATTTCCTGTCACGTCCCAGGGACGGCCGTTCCTCAGCTCTGCCAACCTGCATGGCTGGCTGCACGGGGCTGCCCTGTGGTTTGCCCGGCCCTGAGCTGGTGTCGGGCCGGGGCTGGGGTCACACGCGGCGGCCGGGGCCGGGGGGACAGGGCATCGCTGGCCATCGGGGGCCGGGCTCGGGCAGGGGGACGCCGGCGCCCAGCCTCACCCTCCGCCTCTCCCTCAGCACGGACGTCTTCATCTGCACCAGCCCCACCAAGATGTACAAGTACTGTCCCTTCGAGAAGGTAAGACGCCTGGGGTTGGGCCTCTTCTCGCTTTGCCCCGTGTCCCAGGGAAGGGCTTGGACCCGCATCCATGGCCGCCGCCTGCCGGGGCTGCCCCTCCTCCCGTCCAGCCTCCCGGGTCTGGGCCAGGGCCTCCTCCCAGCAGAGCCTGAAATTCTGCTGCGCCCTCTGGGTGGACCTGGCGAGGCACCGGGTTCTGTGGGAAGGTGACCATCCCCGTTGGTGCAGCATCGACGTGAAGGATGGGACGAGGAGAGGATGCGGGTCGGGGAGGGGCTGGAGGCCACCCAAACCAAGTATTTGGGCACGAAAAGCCTCACAAAGGTGAAACAGTGAAACTGCACTTTGCTACATACTCACTTCGTCATCTTTATTGAAAGTAGGTAGAATGACATAAAACTGAGACTTCTCTGGAGATTGGGAACTTGCAGGGTTGCCAAACCCAGAGGGATGGTCTGTGCCCTGGGGGTGGGTTCACACCAGAGGTGGGCCCAGGGATGCTCCTGCCCCGAGGAAGCCAAGGAGCTTCCCAAGTCTGGGAAGGTGGGTCTCGGGGCCCAGACCCCCCGCTCGGGGGCCGACCTCGGCAGGGGTCCAGCGTGTCCTCTCGGGACCTCTCCTCGCCCGGCTCCATGAGAGAAGCAAACACACACGGTCAGCCAACGTTCGGCGCCTCCTGCACTTCACACGGAAGGGATGCGCCCTCATCGGGGTGTCGCGGGCGCTGGCCTCCACCGTGTGCCTCGTGCTCAGCACGCCTCTCAACCCGCCAGGACCGTGAGTTCAGCTCACCTCGGGGGGCGAGTGACTCGGCTTGGTCAGCGGGGGTGGGCTTGGGCCTGGAGGCGTGTCCAGTCCCCAGCAGAGTAGTGAACTGGAGGCTCAGCATCCCCTGCACGCTAGAAGTGGGCCAGAAGTGGGCATCGTCCGGCCCCTCGTGAGACCCCCAGCAGAAACTCTGGGAGTAGCCAGTGTGTTTCCACAAGCCCCCAGGTGCGCCGTGTTTGAGAACCGCTGGGCTGGGGCAGCTGTTTCAGCCAGGGCTGCGGTGGAGGCGGGGCTGGCTGTCCGGCCCTCGGGGTCCTCATCCCTCCCCCGGGGTTCAAGTATCATCTCCATGCCGACCATCCCGCCCGTGCAGCCTCAACCCAGCACTCCCCTCTGAGCTCCAGATGGCTCTGACCTGGTGTGTCTGTCCCCGGGGTACCGACGTCCTTGTCCCACGTCCGCCCCTCCCTCCGGGGCTGGAAGCACCACGCTTCTTACCCCTCGGTACCTCAGCAAGCCTGCTTCCTGCTGGTGCTTGTTTTCAAGCACACCTCTGTCTCCATGGCCATCTGGGGAGAAATGCTGACATAGCCTCGGAGCTGCCCGTGCATTTCGGCTCCACACGCACACCCCCGGGGGTGCGGGACATGTCCCGCTGGCCCCACTTTAAAGCCTTTAGTTGTGTCTGCGGCAGCTGTGCCACCAAATGCTGCTCTTCCCTGAGGCCATGGAAAGCCCTCCTCCCTCGAAAGTCTGTCTAGTAAATCTTTTGCTGCATGTGGTTCGGATTCGGTTTGGGTCGTCTTGACAGATTCTGGTTCGGGAATAACACCACCACTTTACCTCGGATGGATGGCTCTGTGTTCGCCAGGCCGAACTGTTTCCTGCCCAAGTGTCTTCAGGGACCAGACTTACGATTGGGTGGACAACGAGCCACCTTCCCTCCGCAGCCCCGCCCCCACAGCGGTGCCCTCGGACCCTGGCCCCCACCCTGGCCGGGCCCGGGAGTCAGACGAGAGCTCTGGGCCTCAGACCCCCCCACCCAGCCTCTCAGGGCCTCCGTCTCATAACCAGTGCAGTGGTGCTGACGCCTCCCTGGGTTGTAGGAAGGATGCAGAAGGCGGCATTCATCACCTTGCTAGCAGTAAACGTCACCCCTGTGTCTTCTCTCCGGCCCAAAGACCCGTACCCGGCAAGAAAGAAGGAACCTCAGTGCCCTTTTCTCAAACCAGAAAGCCTGGGCAATTTCACGGTTGATTATTTTTTCTGCATTCTTGGATCCTGGAAAAATAAGTTAGGCGCAAAGTTGCCTATACAACTTTAATTAAAAACTACGTTTTGAAACGTGGTAAATTTTTTTTTTAAAAAAGGAAAGAAGGAAATTCTGCCAACTATAGATGCTTCTGTAACCTATTTCCCAAATTTTCTTTGATTAGCCATTACTTTTGCAATAAAAAAGTGAATGCTTTTTTGGTTGGCAGTTATTCGGCAAACGTTTACCGGGCACCTGCTGCAACGCTAGGCATCTGGGGCTTAAGAGAGCCGTGTCTTTGCTCTCGGGAGCTCAGGACAGTGTGGCAGGAAGAGAGACGGTCATCACTCTGTCACAGGCTCTGTGGTCCCCCAGGGAGGAGGCCAGGGCAGGTTCCTTGGGGAAGGTAAGAATTGGGTGGAGTCATGGAAACGAGAAGGCAAAGCACTGGAAGGACAAGTTCTGAGGAGACCTGATGCGGCCGAGGAGAGAACCTCTGCGCTTAAAGGTATCTCAGTGGACACCCTCCAAACTGATGAGCAGAGAGGGAGCAGAGCCTGCCTGCCCTCCTCCCGGGGTGGCCTGGAGACGCAGCTCCGATGGCTCCCCGTGGGCCCGGAACGCATTCGGGCGGGTCGTCCGCGCCCTGCCCCCCACCCTCGTCACCCCCTTGTTTTACCGCCTCAGAGCCTTCGGGGTGCGCACCTGCCGCGCGGCTGTTGTGAGGCTTCAGTGCGGGGTGCAACAGGGCCCTCAGAGCAGCTGAGCTGGAACCGGAGCCCCGGCCGCCCCACCTCCCCTGGCCACGCGGGGGCTGCCGTGCCCCCGTCAGGGCCTCTCCTCCCAGCCAGAGGCCTGGGGTGTCCGCGCCCTGGCCCGGTGGACGGGCCAGGGGTCAGCTCGTCTGCTGTCAGTCCAGCTCGGTGTGGAGACTTAGCTTCGCGAAGCTGTTTTGTGAACCTGACGGCCCCCTGTTATCTTGTGATGGGGGGTCTTCCTGGCCAGTGTGGTCACTTGCATGGGGTCCTCCATCTGCTGGGTTAGGTCACTCAGGAGCAGGGCGTCGGAGGAGCCCCTGGCACTGGCACCATCTGCTTGAGACCCTCTCCCGCTCCCGTCGTGGGTCCAGTCCTCACGTGGCCTCCGGACGAAAATTCACCGGGTAGGACAGGAGGACGGCCAGTCTGTAAGGGGCTGTTTCGATGCGCCTTGGAGCTCCGTCCCCCTTTCCTTGCCCTAGAGCCTCGCCGCAGGGGCCGCGGCGTCTGCTCGGAGCCACGATTCTGCCGCTTTGTGGCCGAGGGGCCAGGACGGTCCTGCCGTCCCCTGAGCGTGGCAGTCTCCCGGGGTGGGCCCCTCTTGCAGGAGAGCCGGCTGTGCCCCCTCACGGCTCCACCTCCCCCCGCCTGCTGTCGTTCCAGTACGCCTGGGTGGAGAAGCACTTCGGCCCTGACTTTCTAGAGCAGATCGTGCTGACCAGAGACAAGACCGTGGTCTCCGCCGACCTCCTCATAGACGACCGCGTGGACATCACAGGCAAGTGGCCTGCAGCGGGGGAGGGGCACGCGTGGCGGCCAGGCCTCGCGGCCCCTGACTCCCCTCACTCACCAGACATGTGTTAGGCATCACATCCAGCCTTAAGCCGCGCGCGGAGCGAGACAAGATTCTTCTCCGCGTCCGGCCTCGGAAGGGGCCCCACTGGGAGTCAGGAAGAGTGGGTCCTGCCTCTGGGGTAACTCGCTGGGTGGCCTCGAGTGAGTCCCTTTACACCTTGAAGTCTTGCTCTTGTGCAAAATGAGGGCTGGACTCTGGCTTCCAAGCGTTTGTTTTTAGCAACAGAACCCCCCCCCTTTTTTTTCCCAGAAGTAATTTGGACTGAACCTCATGTGTTAAAGCAGAAAGGCAAAGCCTAATCTCTCTAGTTGAAGGTGGTTTGGGAGCTGTATTTGTCCCTTTTGCTTATGGGCGACCCCCTCCCAAAAAATAAACAAACAAACCTTGGATTTGCCTAGAAAGGAGAGGGGAAACTTATTGGTTCATCAAACTGAAAATCTGGGGTAGGAGGGCTTCAGGCACGGCTGAATCTAGGAGCTCAAACAACCTCCGTCAGAATTTGGTTTCTTTATCTCCTGGTTCTGCTGTTCTCGCTGTGCCTGCGTACTCTGGCAGATGCTCCCCTCCTGGTAGCCATCACTAGTTTCAGGGTTAAATCCTATGCTTTTGGACACCTCAGTGGGAACATTTGAACTATTCCTTCCCTGATGGTTTTTGGAGCTGGCCTGGGAAACATGCCCATCTCTACCCCGGTCAGTGTTCAGAAGGTAGAATCCACAGGTGTGCCTGCCACCGACCTCCCAGACCGCACAGTTTCCCTAGGACAGTCAGGGCACAGTGCAGGGGTCGGGGAGGCCATGACTTCGAGGGGCCCAGGGACCCACTCAGCTTCTGTAGGGGAGGGCGGGCGTACCCTCTTCCGCAGGGGAGAGGCCGTACCCAAAGGGCAGGTCACCACTGGTGGCGTCAGTGTGGACCCAAGGGACTGAAGCCTGCGGGGCTTGTGGGGCCCACGGTCAACAGCTGGTGACGGAGCTGGTCCAGCCAGTGCAGGATGGCTGGGCACAGGGGCGGGGAGGGCGGGCGTCTTGAGGCTCAGCCTCCAGCAGAGGCCGCGGCTGTAGGGAGCGCGTGGTCACTGTTTGCCGAGCACCCGCTGTGGGCTCTGGGGCTGCGAGGGGGCCCGCGTCCAACCCCCGTGAGACCGGGCTGGTGCGATCGCCTGGGGCCCCGACGTGGGACTGAGGTGCTGCTTTCCCCCCAGGGGCCGAGCCGAACCCCCGCTGGGAGCACGTGCTCTTCACGGCCTGTCACAACCGGCATATGCGGCTGCAGCCCCCCGGCCGCAGGTTGCACTCATGGGCAGACGACTGGAGGGCCGTCCTGGACAGCAAGCGGCCCCGCTGAGCTGGCTGAGCCCCGGCCCCGCACGTTGCCCGGCCTGGCCTTACACGCACCTCGGGGCAAGGCTGGCCCAGGGCCCTGGACAGGACACGGGCGGCCAGGCCGACCTCAGGCCTCCGGTCAGGGAGGAGCCCGGGGCGTTGTTCAGAGGGGACAGCCCTCCCCTCCCTCAGGGAAGCCCCCTCCCCGGCCAGCAGCCGCCTGGTCTGAGGGTGACGTAGGAGCAGGTGGGGACAACCGCCCCGCTCTGAACCACGGCCCCTGCTGCCCGACGCCCAGGGGGTCTCCCCCGTGGACCTGCCCCGGATCCAGCAAACACGGTGCGAGTTCTGGGCCGTGCCAGGCTCTGTGCCAGGGGTCCTCCCTGGGCCCCGCCTCTGACCGGCTAGAGGGCTCTGCCCCCCTCCCGCTCCCCCCACCCCGGGGGCCGAAGGCTTAGATGTTCGCTGAAGGCGTGAACAATAAATGCTGTTCTCTAGTCCCCGCCCCAAGGTCCTCCGGCATCTGGCCCCCGGGCGCCCACCTGTCCCCCTGCGCTGCTGAGAGCCTGGGTTGGGGGTGCAGCTTGGTGGGTCTGCCTCGCCACGGGGCCGCATGGGGCCAGGAGGGACGGGCCCCGACGGTGGCGCAGGTGGCAGCGCTGGCGGCTGTGGTGTCCCCGGGCGGGAATTGCCCCTGTAACCGGCCACCCACGGCCCGCGCTTTCTTGCCCGCTCCTGCCCCCACTGTGCTCCCCACGGCTGCTCTCCTGGGACCCCCTGGTTGTCCCTTGGGCCCCGGGGGTGGGTCGGGCAGGAGCAAGGGTGAGGAGAGCGGCCGGTGGGTCCTGACTGGAGGGTATCAGGGCTGCATCACGTGGGCTGGAGGCCCCTGGCCCGAGCAGGGTAGTGTCCGGAGGAGTCCCGGCCACCCTGGCCTGTGGCCTGGGAAGGAAGCGAGACCCTGGGACTCCGGGGGCACAGGAGAGCAGGTCACACGCGCCACGGGGTGTGTCACCTTCTTCCTGGGCTCTTTACTCTGCCTGCTCGTGCCGGCGGCCAGCAGCAGCCTGCCCACTGGGCCCTTTGCACCCGCCCTCCGAAGGCCTCCCCGCTTAGAATGATCAAGTCCGGATGCCCCAGCTCTGGACCGGCCGGGACCGCAGCCTCTGCCTGATGAGAACTGCGCCCTCCCCTGGACGTGGCCACCTTGTTCTAGGCTGTCTTGGGCTCTGTCGGTTTCTCAAGCGGGGGCTGGGGAGGGGCTGGGGGGGGAGGTGCTTCCTTCATGCAGAGATGTCCTGGGGAGGGCCATCCCTCCCCATCCCCGGGCAGTGTCGTTGGCACCGCTGGCGTAGCCTGTGCCCTGAGGTCGGCTCTGGGACCCCACGTCTGGTGGGCGGACCTCAGCCACAGGGAGACACCTCCGCGGGGTATGCTGAGACCCCCAGCCTGCGCTCCGGGCCTCTGGTGCAGTGCAGGGTGTGAGCAGGGGTGGGGTGAGGCCCAGCCAGAGCCCCTCCCTCGCATCTGGGCTCTTCCAGCTGATGGCTGCCCTGGGTTTTAACGGCCAGTTCAGCTCAGCTGGAATCACTCACCCCAAGGTAGCAGCCACTGCAGCTCCCAATCAGTTCAAGGAGAGAAAACTCACCGCAGGGGCCCCGGTGTCTGGCTACTTCCTCAAGGTGCCAGGGAGCAGGGGGCCCCCTCCCACCAGGTGACATTGACGGAGATCTGGGTGGAAGAAGGGAGAGCCCTCCTGGCCCTGGCAGGAGTGGCGGAGGCACTGCAGAGGCCCTAGGGCTGCCAGTGAGGGAGCTGGGCGGGAAGGAGATGGCCGGACGGGCCTGGAACCTGGAGCAGAGGGGGGCATCAGAGGTGGTGGCTGTGACGGCTGGGCCATGGGCCGGTACTGCCCTCCTTGTGAGGCAGGACCGTGGGGCTCTGTGATTCCCTTTTTGTCAAGCAGGATACACCTGCCTCATTTAGATGAAGGTGAGTTTCTTCAAACTTGAGGAGCACAGGTTTTGCTTCTGGACCCTTAATGACCTGCAGAAAAGGAAGGCCCCCTCCCATGGGTGACGCGTCAGCTGGGGCCCTCGCCTCCTCCACTGGCCTCAAAATGCCTCAGCTCTGTCGAGAGTGGAGACTGACCCCTTTGAAAATATTGTAAATATTCTGGACTCAAGGCCCAGAGCCCCTGGGAGGAGCAGTGGCACCAGGTCTGGAGCAGAAAGACTCGGGATGGTTTCTTCACTGTCCTGGGTCATAGTTTCCCCAGCTGGGACCCATCCCAGTGTCACAACCCCAGTCACGACAGTGTCCTCGGCATCCGCCGTGTCCCGGGAGCTGACGCGCACTTTACGTGACCTTATAACCGACCACCTCCCATGGCTGCTTCCACTTACCCGGGGGGCCAAGGGCACGCCAGGTGGTGCAGCCGTGCTCTGGGCCTCCACACAACACTGTCCCCTCTCCAGAGCCCCCTACGGCTCAGCTGTCCAGGACAAAGCAGAGTCTGGGCTCAGGGGCTGGGCCTCCATCTGGAGATGAGACTCAGGCACTCGGCCTGTGGCAGAAACCGAAGACAAACCCTGGAAGCTGGAGGGTGGCGGTGGGCAGCAGGCTGACACGGCCCTCAGTCGCCAGGCCGAGGCAGAGGTGTGGGGAGGGGGGTGGAGGGGCACTCCCGTCGCCCCCATTCGCCATCCAGGGGAATCCATGGGTCCTGTGGCCCCAAGGGAAGGTAGGGCAGGAGCCCATGGGATGAGGATGCAGGAGCCGGCCGGGTGGGTCCCCTCTAGAGGGAAAGGGCAGGAGGGGCCTCAGCTGGAGTGAGCGAGGGCCAGGCCCCTGGGGGTGCCCTGCCCCCTCCAAAGTGTGAGAAAGAGGATGGACGTTCCAGCAGAGACTCCGGCCAGCTGAGGAGGCCGGTCCCACACAGCGAGGCCGAGGTCGTGCCCCCGAGGTCCCCCCACTCTGGCACAGGGAGGAAAGGACTCAGGGTCCCTGGGTGCCTGTGGAGGTGGTGCTGAGGATGGATGAGGCCGTAGGCTGGGGGCTCATCAGGCGACCCCCAAGGAGGCGCTGAGTGACCCTGGGGCCGAGTCTGGCTGGGCCGAGGGCACCTTATGCCCCTGCTGCAGGCATTTGGATCAAACACAGGCTTTACTTTCTCAGCTTCAGTTTTCAAAAAATTAAAACGAGCTCATCTTACCTGACCTCGTGGTCACGTGGGAGGATGGATGAGCAGGCCCCAGCAGACCCAGCGCCTGGTCCAGATGTTCCCTAGGCAGGGATGAACACGGAGACCCTCTGGAGAGGGGGCATCGGCCCCCCCCCCCCCAGGGAGCGGGGGCATGCTCCTGGGAAGAACCTGAATTAGAGGCCAAAGAAGCCATTTTAGGTGGAAAGAGACTGAATTCGTTTTCGCTGTTGATTAAAAGTGATCAGTTATAGTGAATAATGAACACGTACCTGCAGGTCTGAGTTACAGCGTATTTACGTTTGGTCCTGCCCACACCCAGCCCAGGAGGCCAGGGCTCAGAGAGGGTCACAGGTGAGCCCGGGCCACCCAGCACAGAGGGCTGGGGCTGAGCTCAGCCCCCAGAGCCCGGCGGGGAGAGGCAGCAGGAGGGGCTAGGAACTGGGAGCCTGGAGGCTGGGGCCTGGTTTATCTCTGACTTGCTGTGACCTGGGCAAAGCCAAGTCTCTGAGCCATTTCCAAGGTTGTTCAGCTTCCGCGAGAAAGGGTTGCAGGAAATAGGGACGTTTATTCCACAGCGTGGCTGCTTGGTGGAGGAAGTGGATTTGCTCTGTGAAACAAGGTGGGGCCTGGTGGCCGGAGCCCCAGTGGCCAGAGCTGGGGGCTCCGGAAGCTCTGACGGGGACCAGGGGCGCTAGTCCTGGCTCGAGCACCAGGTGGCACCATAGTCCATTGAAATGGATGCAGGGGCGCGCGTGCGTGCCTGCGTGTGTGTGTGTGTGTGTGTGTGTGTGTGCGCGTGTGTGTGTGTGAGAGAGAGAGAGAGAGATGGGGGTGCTGGCGATTACTGGGGGCACAGGCAACTGTGGGGAAGGAAGCGGAAGGAAGGGCAGGTCCCCTAAACTCCCTCCCAGCCCCCTGGACCAGCCCCTCCTGCCCTTTCTCCCAGGCCACTGGGGACAAGGTCGGACCCTGCGTGTCAGCAGGCTGAGGACCGTGTCCAGCCTGCCTGGCCAGCAGAGCACCCGCCACTCTCACGACCTCACCTCCAAGCGGCTGAGACGTCGTCCTGCTTCCGAGTCAGGAGCGTGCGCGGGTCCGGGCGGCCTCGGCCTGTGCCTGACCACCCCCCAGACGCCCACCAGCCCTCCCAGTTCCTGGGGCGCATCTCTCCTGTGTCTTGCTTGCATTTTCATTTGGAGGGTTTTCTGCACCCAGCCGACCCCCAGCCTCCTTGTGGGGAGTCAGGCCACCATCTCCCCAGCCCTGTGCGGTCCGAGGGAACGAGGGCAGGTCTGTGCCACGGCTGCCCTGTCCAGGGGGCTGGGCCTCACAGGGGAGAGGGGCAGGCCTGCAGGCTCAACAAAGCTGCTTCCCTCGAAGACTAGGCCACAGCTGTGACAAATGACAGAAATAGGACCAATCACCTGCCCAGCCAACACCTCGGCCCTGTTGGCAATTTGGATGAAACTTTAAAAGAAAGATTATTGATTCGATTCTGCAAAGCTGGCTTGGACCCACAGGCTGAGGCCTAAGGAGGCCAGAAATGATCGGGGAATTTTTCACGTAGAAGCCAGGAGAGGTGTGCGGCCAAGGAGTCGCCGCCGGGGAGGACAGGTAGCAGGGGTGCCGGCCTGTACGGGAGCTGCAGTTCACACACATGGACACCGGACGGCACCAGAGAACCAGCTCTGGCGGCTCTCACCTTCCGGGGCCGGAAGGAGCCCGGCACCCAGACCACCCCTGCCCCGGGTCCTGGACTCATCGTCCTGGTTCTGGAAACTCCTGTGGGCAGGGCCTGGGCTGTGCACAGAGGGGACCCCAGCTGCTGACAGCTGAGTGGACGGTACATGAAAGCAGAGGCCTTGTGGCAGTTCGGGCCCCAGGGACAGACCAGGGCGGGAGACTGCGGTCCATGTGGGCCCAGCTGGGGAGGGCCGGGTGCTGGGAGACCTAGAGGGTCCCTGTACTCCTGGAGACTCCTCTGTGGTGGCCCAGCCTCGCCTCCTGTCTCCCGGCCTTCACAGGACCCCATACAAACCAGAGGTGCAGATGGGAGCCCTCAGATGTGTTTACAGACTGACATATTCTTTCAGGGCTCAGGTGCCCAGGGGTCTGGCCCCAGGCCAGGGTCGGGGGGGGCAGGGGCGTCGGCCGCTCTGGTTGGGCTCCAGCTCTCACCCCTGTGCGAGCAGAGGGTTCATCCCCCACCTCCCAACGACCCAGGCCTCCTGGACCCTGGTGGCAATCGAGACCCTAGCCTCTGACCTAAACAAGGGCCGCCTGGCCGCGGCCCCATCCTCCTCTGACCTCCTTGGCACTGACTGCCTGAACTCAGACCCTGGGCGGGGGGTACCCACTAAGTGAGTAGAAAGAGAATCGAGAGCAGGGGGAAGGGCCCCATACTCCTGGAGCATCTGCTGGACGTGAGCCACGTCATCCATCTTCCCACGTGACCACGAGGCCAGGTGAGATGAGTTCGTTTTAATTTTGTGAAAACTGAAGCTGAGCCTGATTTCGGTCCAAATGCCAACGGCCATGCCCTTCCCACTGTCCACAGCTGCCGCTCGGGGCAGGGATGGGAAACCCAGAGGCGCACGAGGAAGGAGGTCCCAGTGGTGGGCGACTCGCAGCAAAGCCCCCCGTGGTCCCAGGTCCCCAGCGCGCTGAACAGCCGCCCCCTCTAGGAGGTGAACCTGCAACTGTGCGGAACACCTTAAAGGTGGGGGCAGCTGGGCCTGACGGAAGGAGGGAGCCTGACGCATGGGGGCTGCTGCCAAACGTGAGAGGAGCCAGAGACCCTGGACGGTGTGTCTGGGGCTCGAGGGGGCCCGGACCCCTGCAGGATGGTGATTTAGGGCACCTCCATGGGAGCCACCAGGTGAG